AACAACAACCCAGTATAATCCCACTTAGTGGGGTCTGGGGAGGGTAGTGTGTACGCAAACCTTACCCCTACCCTAGGGTAGAGAGACTGTTTCCAAATAGATCCCCGACATCCTTCCCTCCAAGAACTTCCCATCTTGCACTTGGGGAGACTCGAACTCACAACCTCTCGGTTGGAAGTGGGAGTTGCTTACCATCAGAGTAACCCCTCTCGTCCAAATTAGTAGTAGTGGCACACGATATACAAATCAAGTGCATCCGCAACTTTCAAATTCTGAGTCCGAGAAGTCTCTGATCACAATCACACATTTTCACACAATCATTGACTTACCTTCTCATCCCTTTTTTTCTTCTTCTTATTCCCTTTTGACAACTTCAACACTCAATTCTCTTTCACCTTCCAACTACTATTTGAAACTCCACAAAACACACTGCAAAAATAACATTACCATTTGCTGCAGCAAGAAAAGAAAGAATGAACAAATATTCCAGAATCAACAGCAAAGGCAAATCAGAATCTATACTTCTTTCTCAAAATCTTTCTTTTCCATTATCTCAAACTCAAACCCCACCAAAAATATCAAAACCCCATGAAGAAAAATCCAACAAAAATGAGTTTTCCAAAAAGTCTATGAATTTCCAATATGGTTCAGTTCAAGATCAAGAAAATGGAGAAGAAGAGAATGGAGAGATGTTTGGAGTTCTTTTAAGCAGAAGTCGCTCTGTTCAATCCATGGCAGAGAAGAAGGAAGTTAAGAGGACATGTTCAATGAAAAGATCATCATCAGTTTCATCAGCTGGAGGATATTGCAGAATTCATCATCAAAATGATTATCCAATTTCTGATGAAGAAACTCATGAGAATTTGAATTTTGTGCACAGCAAACAGAGGAAGAAGGAGAAAGGCAAGATTCTTAGAGTTTGCATGAGATTGCTGGGATTTTAGGATCTTGGATTTAGCTGCAGGGGTTGTTTGTTAGTAGTTATTCTCTATGTAAGATTTAACAATTATTTCCTTTGGTTTTTCTTTTTTTTCCCCTTTCTCTTTCTTCTACCTTTAAATTTCCCTGATGTCTTTTTGAAAAGTAAGATGATTGTGAATTTGTGATAAACTTACACAAGTACTCCCTCCGTTCTAATTTACGTGAACTTATTTTCTTTTTGGTCCGTTCCAACAAGAATGATTCCTTTCTAAATTTACAAACAATTTAGCTTAAACTTACAATTCTATCCTTAACGAGAAGCTTTTATAACCACACAAATACTCTGGGCCCCTTTTTGACTTGTTTAGGATCACAAATTTTAAAAGTATTCATTTTTTCTTAAACTCTGTATCCAATCAAACAGATTCACATAGATTGAAACGGAGGGAGTATGTAATTAAGCTGATGATCACACTTGAAAGCAAGCAGTTCTTTGTAAGCTTATAAGTTGGTCAAATCGATCTATAAACACTTTTTGGCTTATCTACGCGTTTGGTAAACTTATAAGTTAAAATCAGTCATAAGTCATAAGCTGGTCACCCCCAACTTATGGCTTTTCAGCTTACAAGTACTTTTAGTTTGACCAACACCTTTACTCGTTTATGCTTAATACTTCCTCCGTTTCAATTTAGATGAGTTAGTTTGACTCGGCACAGAGTTTAAGAAAAAAAAAGAAACTTTTGAAACTTGTGGTCTTAGAAGCTTTGTGGGCCCATGCCATTTGTGTGGTTATAAAAGCTTCTCATTAAGAGTAAAATGAATAGTTTAAAGTTAAATTATTTTCACAATTAGAAATGTGTCATTTATTTTGGAACGGACTATAAAGGAAAGTACTCATCTAATTTGAAATAGTGGGAGAAATTTTTTCTAATTTACAAAATACTTTTCCCAAAATAAATTTTCTAACTTTCTATTCATTCCATATTCGTTGTTAATTCTTTTCTTTACATTTTTTCTTTAAGATTTGTAATCTTTTGAAAAAAAATTCAAGAGTATTTTAATCATTTTAACAAAAAAATAGCTAATCATTTTTTTTTAATCAAACACATCAACTGCTTATTATCAGTTTCAACACTTCTATCAAAACACGTAAATGCTTATTTTAAAAATCAGTTCAGCACTTAAAATGCGTTTAAGCGCTTCAAGCTTGTCAGTTATTTATAATCAGCTAATCTAAACGGGCTCTTATTCCTTCCGTCCCAATTTTATGTAGCGGAGTTATGATTTTCAGAGTCGAACGAGTTCTTTTTTACTGCGATTTTTTTATATTCTTTTTAAATATTTTGAATTATTAATTATTGCGACTTATAATACTTTTTATGTAGTTTCTAAACAGATAAATTTTGTTTAAAAGAACTCAAATATTTTATGTCCGAATTCACAGTCAAAATTTTAAAAATTTGATTCTCAAAATCTGGGCTCCGCCTTGTAAATTGGGATAGAAGGAATAGTATATTATTGGTGTGACGAATGACGAATAGTAACTTATGGCTTGAATCTAGCACTACGGCTTGTAATAGGGAGCCAATTAGGCCCCAACTCTCTGTACGTATTCACTAGTAATATATGTTATCTTTCTGACAAAAAAAAAAGATTATTTTGTTCTAACTAAGATTTTGGTTTGAGCACTGAGAGTAGAAAAACTATTAGTAAGGAACACTTCCACTTTAGGAATACGATTGTAGATTAATCAAGTCAGTGACGTAACAGAAATGAGAGAGTNTAAAAAAAAAAAAAAAAAAAAAGACTTGCTAGTATATTGCACTATTACTTAGCTAGAAAATGTTAGGCAAAGTTTAACTTTTTGTTCTTCTATTATATAGTTAGTGCAGCTTATAATCCGAGTCAAATCGAGAAAAAAAACCCGACTATGGTTTGGTATTGGAAAAAAATCCCGACCATAGTTGGTTTGGTTTGGTTTTAACTAAAGAAAGTCAAACCGAAACCAAACCAACCCGACATTACATATATAAATTTTTTAGATATATTTAATATATAAATATACTTATTGTGATGTAATTTATAAATATTTCTTATAAATTTTCATAATTTTATCTTTTAAGGTATTATTTCAAGGTTGGACTTAGAACTTTTGAATATTCCAATAAGTTTTATAGCCATTAATATTAGTAAATTAAATAATGCTAACAAAAGCCCAAACCAAAATCAAATCAATACTAATGCTAACAAAAGACATTCAATTCAATATTGCAAACGTGAATGTATTAAATATCTATTTTTTGTTTTGCAATAATTTAGATAAAAATGCATAACCTATTTTTATTTTTCTTTAGCGTTTAGTCATGTAATTAATACTCCCTTATTAGTTTATTTATTTTAGCATGACTTAGTACTTTTAGATTATGTATATTTTTATTATGGCTTTTTAATTAGTAATATTTATATTACATAATTTTATTGTTGAATATTTTAGGATAATGTCATGACACGTCTCATATTTTATCTTATTTTCTTGGAAAATACTTTATATAGTTGTATCTTACTAGGATTAAAGAAAATTTTTGGGCATACGTTATACGTTTTGTTCTATGAAGATTTTACCGGAAAAAAACCCTGAAAAACCCCGAAAACCCGAGAAAAATCGAGATTGAAAAACCCAAATTTTATTGGTTTGGTTTGGTCTTTAGATTTGATAACCCGACACAATTGGTTTGGTTTAGTAATTGCAAAATTCGAACCAACCCGACTTATGTACACCCCTACTTTTTTCTCTTTCTTGTCCAAAATTGATCTTCAATTTTACCTTTGATCCGCTTTGCTTTATAACAGTGATGTTCAAGTCAGCTTTCATATATTTTAACAGTATAGAGAAACATGTTTTCTATGTTCCCAGAGTAAACAAGCAGTAAATGAAGAACACACGATATTTACGTGGAAAACTCCCTGCTCAAGGGATTAAAAATCACAACCTATCCCAACAGGATTTCAACTCCACCAAAACTGAGCAAACTTTATATTACAACCTATTGCAATCTAGGAAGTAAACTCTATTGTAAGCCATTTGCAATAACTTTATTACAAAGTAACACTCTTGACTAATGCTAGTCAACAACCAAAACAATTATGGTTAAAAGTTGTCCTACGAAATACTTCTAAAAAGCTATCTAGGAATACAAGTAAAGAACAAAAGACAAAGACTCAATAAACATAAGGACTCAAGATATCTTCGGTGTTGGGATCTGGTCCTTGATTTGTAGCAGCTTTGTTTTGAGTGCGCATGGAGAAAACAATGGCGGCTAGCACTTGAATGATAGAGTTTTTTCAAATTCTCTAAGTGTAGGTCAAACCTTGTATCATGTTGTTTATATATGAGAGAGTATGTGCGAAGGGATAGAGACATTTCAGCTTTTGGTTTCGCCTTTAGCAATAGCCGTTGCACTGCTTTCAGTCGGTACAGTGAAACAATTTTTACAGCTGTAGAGTTGACTGTACAACAGCTAAGAGAACTGATCCCATTTGTTCCCTTATATGTTCCCTTTTCTATAACACCAGTCAGTTCCTAGAACTCCATTCCTAGAATTTACATGCATTCACCTCAATGGAGTTATAGATAAGGTTAAATTCACTCTTTCACTCTTCTGATTACAAATCCCTACCCATGAGCTCACCTATATGTCTTCTAGGATTATATAAATTCCCTAGTTTATATGCGCTTACTGAAGGAGAGCTTTAGAACAACGATAAAATTATCTCCGTGTGACCTATATAGATCAGGTGTTCAAGCCATGAAGTAACAATTGATTCTTTGTGTACCGAATTACCCTTTTGCTTATATGTGCTTAACTCACTCATATGATGATTGATGAAGCTAAGATGCAGGCTGTCAATATACTTCTTGACTCACTATTCAGAATCTAAGGCCTATGTCTCCTCCATTACTTGCTGGGACTCCAAATTTTGCATAATGGAGAGCATTTGCTCTACATATGCTAAAGAGAGAGCAATGTTGTTCATCTTCCCCTATTATTAACCCTCTCGACTCGATGTGAACTCCAGGCTCAAGGCAAATACAGAATTGTTACATCTTTAACAATCATACACACTCATACTTAAGCTGCCTGAGGAGCATAATTCAGACGGCGCCGGCAGCAAAGTAATCCTAAAAGTAATCCTAACCTCCCTACACATTTTCAGATTTTGGAAACATACTAGCTCAGAAAATCCATTTTCTCAACTTCATTACACTCCAGTAAGCTAGTCACACATGTACAATTTTTGTCATCTCCCACTGTGATTCACACAAATATATACCTTTACTCTATCATCTAGGTGTGGTTGCCAAAAGATTTATACAGAAAGGCCGTCTAATGCATTGGTGAACTCTTGATTCTGTTTCTTAATTGCTTTCGCTGAAGTCTGCATCGATTACTTCTCCATCTCCATCATCCTTGCCCCTGGAACCAGATGCCCCTGCCGGACCAGCAGCAGCACCAGCAGGACCAGCAGCAGCACCTGGCTGGCTGTATAGAGACTGTCCCAGCTGCATGACTTCTTGGTTCAACGCAGCCATTGTGTCCTTAATGGTTTGTGTTGAACCGCCAGATATGGCATCCTTGAGCTCTCTCAGTTTCGATTCCACCTTGTCTTTAACATCAGCTGGCACCTTGTCTCCCAACTCTTTTAGCTGCTTCTCAGTTTGATATACAACAGATTCTGCTTGGTTCTTTGTGTCAATGGAATCCCTCTTCTCCTTGTCCTCTTTAGCAAACTTCTCAGCTTCCTGAACCATTCTATCAACCTGAAAAAATCATTTTATCAAAAGGTGGACCAATGAGTGATATGTCATTAGATTGACTAATAACCACAAGCCTTAATTTAAGCAAATACTACAAGTTACTGACATACAGCATTGAAAGTTATTCCCACGATTAATATTCTCACATATTTTAACATGCAACTTAAGGATCCAATTTTAAAGCTACAGGGCAGTACTTCATCAAGGTGTGAGAAAAAATCAGGGTCTGCGGCTGTGCCTTATCAGGCATTAGATCGCACTATTTAATACTTGAAGTTATGGTAGCAGTAAGTTGGATAAAATACCGATATTAAAAGAATGTGCTCTATTCAGCATGGGAAATACTAACATATCTAAAGAGATATACCTCATCTTTGGGCAAAGTGCTAGCACCGGTTATAGTAATGTCCTGCTTCTTTCCGGTACCCTTATCAGTAGCCGTGACAGAGAGAATACCATTGGCATCAATATCAAATTTTACTTCAATCTGGGGAACACCACGAGGAGCTGGAGGAATCCCATCCAGACGGAACCTTCCAAGAGACTTGTTGTCTTTTACAAACTCTCTTTCACCTTGTAGCACATTAATCTCAACACTGGTTTGCCCATCTGCCGCAGTTGAGAAGACTTCTGACTTTGAAGTCGGTAGTGTTGTATTTCGTGGGATGATTTTTGTCATAACTCCACCTAGAGTTTCCAGACCAAGTGACAATGGTGTTACATCTAATAACACGATGTCACTAACATCTCCAGCCAAGACACCAGCCTGAGAATATGAAAAAGAACACAACCGCATCACAACATTGCAGCAGTATTGCACGAAATCTAAGGCGAGGTCATAGAGACGGATGCATCATGCATACAAGCCCACTTTGCACAAAGAGTTTTTTGGAGAGAGAGAGAGAGAGAGCCACAAACCTGAACTGAAGCTCCAAGAGCAACTACCTCATCAGGATTGACAGAAACATTAGGCTCTTTACCAGTCATCTTGCGGACAAGGTTTTGAACAGCTGGTATTCGTGTCGATCCACCAACAAGAACTACTTCGTCTATATCTTTGAAGGAAAGGTTGGCATCCCTCAAGGCAGTTTCAACTGGTGTTTTAAGCCTGTGAAGATAAATTCCAAGTGGAGTTGTCGAGTCAGAAGGTTAAGACTGAAATTTAAGAAACAAGCTCGAGTATGCGAGTTAACTACAATCTTAGATTACAGAAAACAAAATATCAAACTTTGAACTATTGCACACTTGAAAAATAAATCTAATCATATTGGCATCCCCATACTAAATGACAGGTAATTTATGAAAAAATCGTTACCTGTCCAATAAGTCTGAGCATAACTCCTCAAACTTGGCCCTTGTAAGTGTTGTCTCAATATGTTTTGGACCATCTGCAGTAGCAGTGATGAATGGCAAACTGCACAAGAAGGGAAGGCACATTCAATGAAAGCTTGCTAAGGCAGAAGCAGCTGTTTTTTTTCCAGGAAGGGGGAGCAAAGAAAGAGAAAGAAGCAATTATTTTGTGCACACATGACACAACTAACACAGACACATACCTGATATTAGTTTGAGTCAAGGTTGACAATTCTATCTTTGCCTTTTCAGCAGCTTCAGTAAGACGTTGAAGCGCTTGTTTATCCTTCAGAAGGTCTATTCCTTCTTCTTTACGGAAATTTTCAGCAAGCCAGTCAACAGTTCTCTGTTTGATAAAAAACGTGTAAGCACAGTACAGACGGAAAAGGTGCATATAAACTAACAGAAGGTATTGCCACTTTAATACCTTATCAAAATCATCACCTCCCAAGTGTGTGTCGCCTGAGGTAGAGAGCACCTCAAATACTCCATCTCCAACCTCAAGAACTGCATTAACTTGTGAGTTAGTGCAGATACAAAAGCACATTTGAAGTAAGAAATTAATCTACCTACATCGTGCGAACCTCTTTTCCTTCTACTCCATATTACTAAGGCTCTACGTTGAAGTACATAAATAGAAACATTAATGCAACTCAAAACCTAGTAGGGAGGAAGATAACTCTCTGGAAAAGCAAAGATTTGTACAATCAGCCCTTTTTATATTCTTGGTAGTCGTTTGGTACAATGATGAGACATCCCAGGATATCCAATGTGGTGGGGTTAGCTATCCCGCCTTCTTTATGGAATAGTTAATTCCACCATTTTAGTGTGAAAATTTTCTCGGTATTAACTAATACTTATAACCAAACATGGGATAAATACAATTTCAAATTCTATCCCGGGATTATTATCATTATCCCATGTACCAAACAACCCCTAAGTGCTATATGAAAGAAGCCAGTTACTGCATAGAAGAGATGAGATTCAAACCAGATCTTGCCTCAATCAAAAAGTTTTCTCACATACCTGACACATCAAAAGTACCACCTCCCAGGTCAAACACTAGAATGGTTTCGTTATTCTTCTTCTCAAATCCATAAGCCAATGAAGCAGCAGTGGGTTCGTTAATTATGCGGAGAACATCTAATCCGGCAATGCGACCTGCATCTTTCGTTGCAGTTCTCTGGGAGTCATTGAAGTATGCAGGTACTGTAACCACTGCTTTAGCAACTTTATCATTCAAGAACTTTGAGGCATCATCAACAAGCTTCCTTAAGACCTGGGAGCCAGAAGCAAAGCGAACTCTCTTCAGAATACCAAGAAAAGAAGCATGAAAGTGTGGATTCAATTACTACTGAAACAGGTAACCACAGACAAAGGCGGAGCTAGGATTTGAAACTTATGGGTTCAGAATTCTAAGCTTTCAAGTTATTGGGTTCTAAACTAATAATTTGTACATATTCAATAGATAGACAAATCAGACTTTGACCAAAGTGACTGGGTTAAGCCGAACCCGTAAACCAAATACTAGCTCCTTCCCTGACTGCAGATGTCTAATAACTCCATCTGCCTCAGAATAATCAAACTCATAGATTGAGGAATAATAAAAAGTACAAACATATATTTTGCAGACAACAGTAACAACCTTTCATAATCAGCATTGATTTTCTCAGTGCTGTCTAACAAATTACTAATTCCAAGCTACCAGCCTACACATGATAAGAAATAACCCAAACTAAATATGGTTTCCGAAGAATATAGTAGAAAAAAAATGCTTAAATAAGCACAATCACTAAACAAAATTTTTGCACAAAACAGAGTAACCAAAATCACTCAAATATCAAGCAGAAACCTCAACCTAAATTCTCGCGCCAAAGTTGATAAAAGCAAAAAACACTTATTCCTAGGGTCAATTTGACCAATTTTCAAGCAGAACTCATAATACATATATTTCAGCGTTCAAATGTAATACTCCTTCTATCCCCAATTTATGACGGTTCCAAAATAGAATGACCCAACTTCATTGACTCAAACCCATTGTCGAATTCTACTCAGCAGAATATGAAGGTACTTACGGTAGAACGGGCCAATCCGGTCTTTAACAATAAAGCGATAGACAGAACCGTCATGAAACAACTTATTAGTAGATTAATAGATCACTTTGGAATAGCATACATCACATATCCTAGATCAAGTAAAAACTCTGGGATTCCAACAAGCTACTGCTATATCCATTTCATTAGTAATTGATGATCTTTAAAATTACCTTCTAAGTGATGGCTAGTTCGAGGTTCTTAACAACAAAGTTTGATTTTGGAAAAATACCATCATTATCGGAATGTACACAAGGTAGAAAAATTACGTCAATAATCATTACCGCAAGGTATAGAGGGATAAGTCATAAGCATCTATACCATAAAATCGATTTTCGACGGAATGAAAAAGACATATATGGTAGAATCGTAGCCATAGAATACGACCCTAATCAAAATGCATACATTTGTCTTATACACTATACGGACGGTGAGAAGAGATATATTTTACATCCCACAGGACTATAATTGGAGATACCATTTGTTTCTAGTATAGAAGTTAAGATGCCCAACTTTTATAATTTGTTATCACGATGTTGAAGTAACTCATGCCATACTC